GTATTAACATTGAAGGAAGTCAGTGATGTATAAAGTAAGAAAAAGCTGACCTAATATAAGACGATGCCAAGTGAAATGAACTCCAAGACATGGACGTAAGAGGCTTTTCTTTGTTGTTGTTGTTTTGAGTGTTCTATATGATTTCTTGTTTCTTTTGAATGTTCTTCCCCTTGTGGTACATCTCCTGTTGTCACTGTATTTGATTTTGGTACCCTGGTATTGTATATGCATTTATCTGAATTAGGGAAGGGAAGGGGAACAACAGAATGGGACAAAGATGGAGGTGGGTGGGACCAATGCAACAGCAATATTCACAAGACAATATTGATGTTGGTAATGAGCTGTCCATTTGCGGGGGTTTGGGGTGGAGGGAAAGAAAAACAAGGGAAGGGGTGACAAGTTTGACAAGGAATGTACTTATTACCATTTGTACATCACCTTGACAATAAAAATAAAAAATAGAAAAAGCTGGTCTATAAATCGGAATCCCAGAATAGTATAGAACTTTAGGACCATGTATGTTATATCTTCATAAAGAATAATTAAGTTCTGTGTCTCAATCCATTCAAATACTGAAGATTATGAATACATTAACTATTGATTATATACATAATATATATGCATATGTAGATATATACATACATTTGTGAATAATACACAAAAGATCCTTAACTTTTGTTATTAGGTATTGGTTCTATTTTCTTCAGTGTAAGGACTGATATTTAAGATTAAACATTTCAGCCATTGAACTAGATGTGGTGGAGTACACCTCTAATTACAGATACTGGGGAAGTAGAGATCTAAAAGATAATGTTTTTAGGCCAACCCTCAAAAATTTGATGAAATGCTCATCTCGGCAAACAAGTAGGATATGATGAAGCACCTATGTACTGCAAGCTACACAGGAGGCATGAAGTGTGAGAGCTTTTTGGAAAAATAACTAAAGCAAAGAAGGCCAAGGTGTATAACTCATGTGGTAAAATGACTACATAGCAATGGCAAGACCCTGAATTCAAACCCTAGTACCCAACAAAAATGAAGAAAGAAAGAAAAAATGAAAGAAAGAGAGCAAGCAAGCAAGAAAGAAAAGGGTCAAGAAAGGAAGGAAAGAAAGGAAAGGAAGGAAAAAAGAGACTTAGTTAATCCTACATGGAAAGGGAAATCACTCCCATATTAAATGTGCACCCAATGTGCTTGTATGTTGCTGGTGAAATGATGATTCCTCTGAAGAGTGTAAAAGGAGGATTTGTTTAACATGTGTTGATAGTGTAAAACTAGAGCTTTCTTAATATAATCAAGATGAATAATTCTTGTATTTTGAGGTCAATTTTGAGACAGGAAAATAAGTTGGATTTAAGATACTTCTTTGGATTTTGCTATGGTTTGGCTCTGAGGTGCGGTTTTGTCACCTGTTTCCTGGTTCAATTGCTTGCATAATGAATGTTTATTATTCTTGCTCCCTGATACACTCATCCCTGGAAGAAGGGCAGGTTTGGGGATGTGACCACAAAGATATTAGTTTCAAAAAAAGGACATGTTAATTCTTATGAATATTTAAATTTTCTAAATGGAAATCAGTTCATTTTATAGTTAAGTTAGAAACCATTAAGCGATGTAAGGGGAATTACAACGAGCTCATTCTAAATCTGCTCAGCGATGATAACTTTACAAATAAGGTTTATAGTGACCCCTGAGGACACAACATGTCGTAATTGTCACTACTGCTGTGTGTAATTTGGTGATTAGTAATTATCTCACAATGCCCACTAGGACAACCTTGAATCCATCCTACTGGGAATCTCTAAAAAATATTATGAGAATCCCAGTTACATTTAAAATGAGCTTGAAATAGAAGCAGTAAGCTCTATTGTCCTCCATGGTGGAGATTTCTTTAAACTAATAAACAAATAGCATTGCTTTCTGCATTCTTTTATGTTCTTTTGAAAAAATGTGAACATTTCCAGTTGTCCAGTGTTTTACAGGAATTGGGTGAGAATGGAAGTATTTTATGATTCAGTTTACTAAAGTTCAGCAATGTGTTTTTTCAACAATATATCAAAGTAATAAACTAAATTCTAGACTTTTTAAGACAGAATCAGTAACCAAAATCTGAATATGTATCATGCATTTATAATTATTGCTCTGTACATAGGAAAAATGATAAAGGTTTAAAATAAACTTTGAGGTCTTGAAATGAAAGCTAAAATATTAATGTAATAATTACAAGGAAATTTTAATGTATCCAGGTTACTTTTGTCAATTAAAAAAATGAGATATAAACTATGATGCTAACATCTCATTGATATGTAGTTTTTTATTTTATTTTTTATTTTAAATATTTTTTTATTGTAAAGATACTGTACAGAGGGGTTACAGTTACTTGAGCAAGGTAAAGAGTTCATTTCCTATCGAACATTGTTACCCATTCCTTTGTTTTTGTTTTTCCCCTACAATCCCTTTTCTCCCCACCTCCCCAATTCCGCCCCCCCAACAAGCAGCCTTATCTGCAATATAGATATATAGAATATGTCTAGGACAAGCAGAAGAGGTCAAAACTATGTACATATGACCATATAACCTGAGCTAAACAAAATGAACCCTAAGATAGGACACAAGAGACTTTATCTTTCTTGTTGTTCTTTTCAATGTACTTATAATGTAATATGTGGGTTTTTTTGTTATTGTTGTTTCTTTGTATTTTCTTTCCCCATGGTGCCACACCTGTTGTTGCTGTATTGGATTCCAGTGTCTTGCATCTTGTACATACATTTTTCTAATTTGGGGAGGGGAAGAGAAATAACAAAATGCTGAAATAAGGATACAGGATGACACATTCTAATGATCATTGAAATGTAGTTTAAAAAATCAGAATATGGCTAGAGAAGTTGAGTATTTTTTTATGTGTTATTGGCCATTCTTATTTCCTCTTCAGAGAAGTTTCTCTTTAAGTCTTTAGCCCACTTATTAATTGGGCAGTTGTTTCTTTGAAGATTTGTTGTTGGGGATTTACTTTAGAGATTCCACCTTACCCCAGTTAGAATGGCTATAATCAAGAAATCTAATAACAACAGATGAAGGAGGGGATGTGGCCAAAAGGGAACCCTACTGCATTGCTGGTGGGAGTGTAAACTTGTTCAACTACTTTGGAAAGCAGTATGGAGGTTCCTCAAAAACTCCACACAGAGCTCCCCTAGGATCCAGCAGTCCCACTTTTGGGCACTTACCCAATCGAACACAAACAAGGTCATACCCAAGCTACCAGCACAAGTATGTTTATAGCACCATTATTCACCATAACTAAGATATGGAACCAATCCAGATGCCCTCAGTAGATGAATGGATCAAGAAAATGTATATATATATATTTACAATGAATTCTATGCCTCCATCAGAAATAATGATATCGTCCCATTTGTTAGGAAATGGAAAGACTTGTAAAAAAATATATTAAGTGAAGTAAGCCAGACCCAAAGAAACATAGGTCCCATAGTTTCCCTTATTTGCAATAACAAGTATATGTCTAGGACAAGCATAAAAGCTCAAAAGCTATGTACATGTGACCATATAAGATGATGACAAGTGAAGTGAACCCCAAGATAGGGACACAAGTGGTTTTATCTTACTTGCTGTTATTTTTAATGTATTTATAATGTACTATGTGATTTTTTTGTTTCTTTTGTATGTTCTTCCCCCACAGTATAACCCTTGTTTTCACTATATTTGATTCCGGTGTCCTGCATCTTGTATATACATTTTTCTAATTTGGGGAGGGGAAGAGAAATAACAAAATGCTGAAATAAGGATACAGGTTGACTCATTGTAACAATGAGATGTACAAGACACTATGTTGAAAACGAACTTTACAACTTCCCCGGGGGAGGAGTTAGTGAGGTGGGGAGGAAAGGGATGGTAGGAGAAAAACAAAGGAGGAGGTAACAATGCTGGATAGGAAATGCATAGATGCTTTGATTTTCCTTATATATTACAAAATGCTTGGGGAAAATGTTATATAGCTTATCCTTTTGGGAAGAATCATATATTGCTTGTGGTTAAGAATAGCAGTATTTGGCTTTGGTGTTTATAAATAAATTGAATCAGACATTCAGGAAAACATCTTTATTGGTTCTTAATTTTAAAATGATATTTTAATCTTAGGTGTACTAGTACTCTCTATAGGCATATATTTGCAAACAAGAATTCAAAAGTCACTCAATTCTTTTAAGTAAACATAAGTTAATATTTCATAATTATGAATGGATGGTAGGGGAAAAACAAAGGAGAAGGCAACAATGCTTGATAGGAAATGTACTCATTACTTTGCTCATGTAACTGCAACCCTCTTGTATAATATTTTTACGATAAAAACATACAAAAAAGAAAAATAGCATTAATATTACTTTAAAATTTGAGCATGTTTTTGAACATTTTGTCATAGTAAATACATTATATACAGTGAAAGGTATAAATATAAAATGAAAATATTTCATAAATGTAAATAGTGTGATAAAATTATTTTCAAAAATAATAAAGATCTTTGTCTAAGTTTCTTCAGAGACTAAGCAATAGTATTGAAACTTTCTTACTGGAAGCAAACATTAAATGTTTCACTCACAATAATGCCAACAAGTACAACAATTCAGGAAAAAATTTAAATATTACTGAAACTACAGAATAAAACCTTCTAAAATTATTTGTTACTCTCTCAGAATCTTATTGTATATAATTAGGACACTTTTTTGATAGGCATATGCAATTCTAAAACTGTCTTTAGATTGAAAAGGACTTTCAATAAGTACACATGTAATTTAGATGAATTATTTTGAAGCTATGTTAAGGACGTGAATATATATAAAAGGGAACATATGTGGAAAATTAAAAAAAATACTTATCAGGCAAGAAGCACTTTTAGGAATATTTCAGTCATACACATTCACAAAGGTAGCCATTCTTATGATGTGTATATCTGTTTAACAATTATTCTTTCATTATAGTAATTGTGCAGTTCCGATATGGTTGAAGAAAATCTAACGCTGGTGACTGAGTTCATCCTCACAGGACTCACAGACCAGCCTAGGCTGCAGGCGCTCCTCTTCTTGGTGTTTCTACTCATCTACCTCATCACCATGGTTGGTAATGTGGGGCTCATTGCTCTCATCTGGAAGGACCCCCATCTTCACACCCCCATGTACTTATTCCTCAGCAGCTTGGCCTTGGCAGATGCGTGTACTTCTTCCTCCGTGACCCCTAAGATGCTCATGAATTTTTTGTCTAAGAATCATAAGATATCGCTGTCTGAATGCTTCATCCAATTTTACCTTTTTGGTTCCAGTGCGACCACAGAATGCTTCCTCCTGTCAGTCATGGCCTATGACCGCTATGTGGCCATATGTAATCCTTTGCTTTACCCAGTGCTGATGTCCAACAGACACTGTGCTCAATTTATATATTTTTCATATTTTGTTGGTTTTGTACATTCAGCAATTCATGTATGTTTGCTGACTAGATTAGCCTTCTGCAAGTCCAATATCATCCATTATTTCTACTGTGAAATTTTACAATTGCTCAAAATTTCCTGCACAGATCCTACCATTAACATGGTTATGATCTTAATCTTTTCTGCCTTTATACAAGTCTTTACCTTTCTGACAGTCATTGTCTCATACTCTTATGTCCTCTTTGCTGTCCTGAGAAAGAAGTCTGAGAAGGGCAGAAGCAAAGCCCTATCTACGTGCGGTGCCCACCTGCTCTCTCTAGCTTTGTTCTACGGCACTCTCTTCCTCATGTATGTGCGCCCAGGGTCTGTGCCAACAGAAGAGCAGGACAAAATGTATTCTTTGTTCTATACCATAATAATTCCCCTGCTAAATCCCTTCATATACAGCCTGAGGAACAAAGAGGTTGTAGGTGCCTCAAGAAGAATTATGAACAAATAAATGATCACATTTACATTCCACACTCTTAGAGCGAGAACTCAAAAGCTGTGGATTAGCCACCATTCTGCCATTTCCTTGGACTCTCCCTGCGCTTTGAAAGAACTTGGCTTTGTATTATATTTTCCTGTATTTCATTCCACCCATAATCATATTCCTAAGTAGCTTATTTAGGTACTCTAGCTTATTTAAAATTCCATTTTATTTGAGCATCTACCCTTTTCAGAATAACTATTTCTTCCTGACTCCCACAGTTGCAGGTAGTCATTAGAAATTTTGCTGAGAATAACTTGGTGAAAATATCTCCAATTGAAGCTAGCATGTCAAGGCAGCTTATTAAATGATCCTAGCCTCCCTCTTGGCCCCCCTCACCCTGGCCTTGTCCCAGACTGGCAAGTTAGTAATGTTTTTTTCTTTCTCTACTTCAATCAGTAATGAAGAATATTACATGTAGCATGATATTCCAATTTTATAAATATGAGATTTGGTTAGTGTAAAATGCTGAATTCAGATCTCCTCCTTGTGACTGTCTTGTTGTTCCTGTGAATTTGACATGCAATTATGTGGCAGAAAGGGAGAAGACTTTCAGATACAAGAAATTTATTCTAAAGTGATGGAAGTAAATACTTTACAGTGAATCCATGTGTTGATGGTCTATAACAGAAGCTTCCTAGGGGATCTCAAGGCTATTCTAGGCAGAGAATCCATGGGATTCCATGAAAATGGAGAAAGTAAGGCATGGTGGAGCTTACCTGTCATCCCAGATGAAACTGCAAACCTAAAATTGATCCAGGCAGCTAAACCCTATGTCAAAAATAACTAGAACATTCAAAAGCAGTTCAGACTTGTTCCCATCTCCTTGCAACCATGAATCAAGTTGATGTTTGTATGTAATTTCTTATTTAGTCTAGTTTATATTTCTGAGAATTATATTCTCCATGTTCAGCCACTTGTACCTTCTAATAGTAATTCTTTCTGTATAAATAATATTCTGTTGAATTAAAATAAAAGTCTGTGGATCTATAAAAAAAATAGAGAACTAGCACAACAGAAAGACTGGAGATTCTGGGCACCGGTGGCTCAGACTTGTAATCTTAACTATTCAGAAGGCTGAGATCTGAGGATAGCGGTTCAAAGCCAGCCAAGGCAGGAAAGTCCGTGAGACTCTAATAAACCACCAGAAAACCAGAAGTGGTGCTGTGGCTCAAGTGGTAAAGCACTTGCCTTGAGCTGAAGAGCTTAGGGATAGTGCTCAGGCCCAGAGTTCAAGACCCAGGAATGACCAAAAAAAAAAAAAAAAAGAAAGACTGGAGTGTGGCTCAGTGCTAGATTGCCTGCCCAGTAAGACTGAGGCCCTGAGTTCAAACCCCAACACAAAATTGCTGTACTGAATTCTGTGTGTGTGTGTGTGTGTGTGTGTGTGTGTGTGTGAATATATACATGTGTGCCTACATGGTTAAATATTGATTGTCATGGTATTACGGCGTTCATTATTTCATTAAAACAGACATAGACATAGACAGATAGACATAGATAATTCAATTCCTCCTTTAGTAAAGCAATCACAGTCCTCTAGATCTCTATTTATTTTGGGCATATATACTTAAGGCAAGTAATACTAGAAAAAATAATTTAAAGGTCTTAAAGAAATATATCTTTGGATTGAGATTTCAAGAAATAAATCCATGCTTTTTCTAAATAACTAGGTATTAAAGTATCTTTTTATTAAAGTATCTATTTATCATAATTGTATTTTAGATGATAGCATAAAATATGTGAATAAGAAGCTATTTATAATACATATGTATATACACAAGTTCTTTTCACCTGCACTTTATCAGTAGAAGGTAAGATATGAGATGTTTCCTGGGTTCCTTGTAGATAATACATTTATTAATTCATCCATAGTCACTACACTATTTGTTGCAGAGACAAAAGGATAGGGACAAGTGTCCATAGATTCTTTTTTTAAATTTATTTATAAGATTTATTATCTTCAAGTAGCTATACAAAAGAGTTCCACTTCAGCGTATTATTGTGAGTACAATGCATCTTGATCATCATGATGCATTTTTTCATGCATATGAAGATCTGTAAAAACAGAAACTGTCCATAGATTCTAGAAAGAACTATTTCATAATTGAAGTATCTTGTTCTCAGATAAGTATTAGAAATGTGATGAGTTTTTCCAACCTGGATGCTTAGGCTGAATTTTCAAGAAGGCAGACTGAATTTCCAAGAAAGCAAATATATGTGGTGTTCACTGATTCTATTGCAAAAGAAAATTCTCCATCCAATCATCCCTCAAAAAGAGGTAAAGCCCATGCAAAAGGCTTGATTTCCTTGATCTTTGGTAACATAAATCTAGCTTAGTCAAACTACAATATTTAAATATTAAGAAATAAGGCTGCATATCTTATGTAATACAATTAAGGAAATTATAGTAGTACTTGCTCTAAAGAAGTATATACATATACATGCACACATATATTCATTCAAACTAGTGATTTCATGATAGTAACATTCTTTATTTCTGTAGTTTGTCATGTGATTGAAGCTGGTATAATCTTTCAAACATATCCTTGTTCACTTTAGAATCAATTCATGAAATTATGACATTTACCTGTTACGATGACTTAAAATTTAAGTTTATTTTATGATTTTTGACCATTAATTGTCCTACTTGGCTTGGATTATTGAAATGTTCAGTGAAGTGAATCACAACAGAAAGTACAGATATTCCTGTTATTCTCTAGAGAATGCAGTATACAAATCATTCATACCATTATTTTGTATTATGTATTAAAACAATTAGACATGTTTTGTAAATACCTTTCATTTCTATACAATAAATGCATGATTGTACAGATTTTGGGATCAGTGGGAGTTGATACTAGGGTTATATTCTTTTTTATTATAAAGATGATATACAGAGAGGTTACAGTTACGTCAATCAGGTAATGAGTACATTTCTTTTTGAACAGTGTCATCTCTTCTCTTGTTTACTCCCAGATTTTCCCCCATGAGTCCCCTCTCCCAGAAGTTGTATAGTTCATTTTCAACATAGTATCTAGTGAGTATCACTGCTGAATTAGCTCACCCTGTGTCCCACCATTTTTAATACTTTTTATTGTAAAAATACTGTAGAGAAGGGTTACAGTTACATGAGCAAGGTAATGAGTACATTTCCTATCAAGCATTGTTACCTCCTCCTTTGTTTTTCCCCTCTATCCCTTCCCTCCCCACCTCCACAACCCTGGGACCTATGTTTCTTTGTGCCTGGCTTACTTCACTTAGTATAATTTTTTCCAAGTCTTTCCACTTCCTAACAAATGGGGCAATGTATTCTTCCTGAAGGAGGCATAGAATTCCATTGTGTATATATACCATATTTTCTTGATCCATTCATCTACTGAGGGGCATCTAGATTGGTTCCATATCTTAGCTATGGTAAATAATGCTGCAATAAACATAGCTGTGCTGGTAGCTTTACTATGGTCTTGTTTGTTATCATTCGGGTAAATGTCCAAAAGTGGGATTGCTGGGTCATAGGGGAGCTCTAGGTGGAGTCGTTTGAGAGACCTCCATACTACTTTCCAAAGTGGTTGAACAAGTTTACACACCCACCAACAATGCAGTAGGGTTCCCTTCTGGCCACATCCCTTCCAGCATCTGTTGTTAGAGTTCTTGATTATAGCCATTCTAACTGGGGTGAGGTAGAATCTCAATGTTGTTTATGGCTAGAACCATTGAACATTTCTTCATATGTCTATTGGCCATTCTTATTTCCTTTTCAGAGAAGTTTCTCAAGTCTTTAGCCCACTTATTTATTGGGCAGTTGTTTCTTTGAGGATTTGTTGATGGGGGAGTTAATTTTTGAGTTCCAAGTATATTTTAGATATGAAACCCTTGTCCGTTGTATGGCTAGTGAAGATCTTCTCCCAATTCGTGGGATTTCCATTGATCTTGCTAGCTATGTCCTTTGCCATGCAGAAGCTCTGCAACTTCATGCAATCCCATTTGTCCAACCTTTCTTTGATTTGTTGTGTTTCTGGGTATCTATTGAGAAATTTGGCCTGTGCCAAGGTGACCTATGGTTTCTCCTATTCCTTCCTGTAATGTTTCCAGGGTGTCTGCTTTGACTCCGAGGTTTTGATCCATTTGGAGTTGATTCTGGTGTCCCAATATTTTTGTGCTTCCCTGTAATCTCCCCAAATCAGATAAGCTTACATACAAGACAAAAGATATAGAAATATAAAACAGCCACAAACAGGAAAACTTTTTAAAAACTCACGAAAATGTAAAATAAAAATCCTCTTGTTTCCATTTCTTGGCGTTCATTTTACAAATATTATTTTATATGATCATAAACACATAGCTTTTGAACCTTTGTGATCTTCTTATACAAATATCCTTCTTTGGTTTCACTGTGTAAAAATTTAGAGTGCTGTTTATTTGAGCATGTCCAAGTGTATTTTTTTTTTGTCTTTTGCCATCCATTGTGTTTGCCTGTCGATTTATAGGCACATTCTAATTACTACAAATTAAGGAAACCAGGAACCAATGCTTCTTTGGGTTTGGCTTACATCTCTAAATATTTTTTCCCCAAGATATTCAATTTCCTTACAATGGGGCAATGGTATTCTTTCTGATGGAAGCATAGGATTCCATTGTGTATATATATCACATTTTCTTAACCACTGAGGGGAATCTGGGTTAATTCTATATCTTGGCTATGGTAAACAAAGCTGCAATAAACATAGTTATGCTGGTACCTTTAGTGACTTGGTTTGTGGTCAATTGGATAAGTGCTCAGGAGTGGAAGTGCTGGGTCACAAGAAGCTCTATGTTTAGTCTTTTGAGGAACTTCCATATTATTTTCCAGAGTGGCTGAACAAGTTTACACTCTCACCAATGGTATATTAGAGTTCTCTTTTGATGGCATCCTCACCAGCACCTATTTTCTTAGTTGTGTGCAGTTATTATTCTTTGATTAGTAGAAC